TAATGGGGTAATAGACTAAATACATTTCTTAAGTATTTGATTAGTTTAGTCTTTATTTCTGGGAAATAACAATGAGAGATTGCTTATCTAGCGCTTACAATGATTTCGGAAACTGTTCTATCCTCTCGGTAACAACTGTATCTACTTATTGTAAAAAGACCTTTATACTAGTATTTTATGTAACCACTTTGCGAGTCCTAGATATATAAGCCACGCACTATAAATGTTTATAAAATTTCACCACACAAGTTTTATTGATAAATAGGTACTTCAAGGCAATATTAATAATAATAATACAAATCTTCTTTTAACACGCCGACTTAACAAAAAAAATACATGGAAACTATAAAGACATAATTTGAACGAAACCGACATATGACAACACTTGAAATCAACTCTGGGCGTCATAATTTAATATCATCCCGAACTACGACGTGTTATTACAACTACTGAGTAGACAGAGCACAGAGAGAAACAACGCTTCATACAAATGCGCGTGTGTTTAGTAAGCACTAACTGTCTGCGTGTATGCAGAGAGACGTTTCTATTGGTGGCGACAGGCTGCCTGAATGTCGATTCTGAAAATTTACAGTAATAATCGTGTGTCAGTGGCTCAGAACGCAGAAAGAGGTTAGAATATCTAGCATTTAAATACTTAATATATATAAGACGTCAAAATCTAATAAAAAAATACTAGATGAATTTTCAGCAGACGGGACTCGCACCTGAACCCTTCGCTATCCGAGCGAATGCACTAACAATTATGCTACCGCGGTCCTTATAGCCATGTCGAATTTCCTCTAGCCCTTCTTAGGCTGCTTATACATATATATATATCATCGTCATTTCTTCTTTCGAATGTTTAATACTTGTATTCATTTGACATTGTTGGTTACCTACATTACGAAGCGATGGCGCTACCTTGCAGCCTAAGAAGGGCTAGATGAAATTCGACTCGGCTATAAGGGCCGCGGTAGCATAATTGTTAGTGCATTCGCTCGGATAGCGAAGGGTTCAGGTGCGAGTCCCGTCTGCTGAAAATTCATCTAGTATTTTTTTATTAGATTTTGACGTCTTGCAGTGAAATGCTTAAAAATATAACAGGAACTATGTCAACATACAGTTGACACAGTTCCTGTTTCCTATTGTGACAGGATTTTTACGTGAGCTTAGCAGAAACAAGCTCCCTCATTACGCTCACTGCACGAATCTATGCCTCTGTACTTTCTTTACTCATACGATTACAAACGTCCTTGCGATAATCTCGAACCAGCAACACGGTGATTCATTCGATCGCGAGCCGAGCTGCTAGGCAACTGTTGCCAAATAGAATGCCCCCACTTTCTATACAAATAATACAAGATAACACAGAACAACATGATAACTGTTGAGTTTTAAAATTGGAAACGTTCGAATGGTTTTAATAATACAACTATTGGCACTATTTTAATAATAATAATGTTATTGTTTGACATACACCTCACAGGACATACAAGACATTAAACATGACAGTGAAAACGTACACAATAGGCGGCCTTATTGCTAAACAGCCATCTCTTCCAGGCAACCCATGAATTGAAATAAATAAATTAAATAAATAAATAATAAATATTTCCAACACTCACACCAATTAGCCTAGCCCCAAAGTAAGCACTATAAGGCTTGTGTTATGGGATACTAGGGTAACGGATAGAATACACATATGTAAGTTTTTTTTTATAGAAATACATAATAAACATCCATTACCGGAGTACAAATGCTCGTATTCATCACACAAACATCTGCCCCCACCGGGATTTGAACCCGGAACCTCTCGAGTCGGCGACACCATGAAACCCGACGTACAAATCACTCGGACACGGAGGTCGTCAAAATAAGAGGAACAAGAAAAGTAAAGTCAAGAAAGTCTTTTATTGTTTAGAATCAATGTATTATTTATAAAGTTAGTTAAAAAAAGAGTTATCTATCTGAGGTTATCTAAAAATTCATACATAAATTAGAGCTTAATAAGTACTAAATATTCTTAAATTTAAGAAAATTTAGGCCTTACTATAACTTATTTACCCATAGATGTCATAACCGTAATTATTTATGTCAATATGATTTTGTTTGTGTCTGTAAATATACCTACCTTATTCATAGAATATAGTAACATGGTAATACAACATACTCGTAATTGTAAAGTCAAAATACTTTATGGATCTTTACCAGAATCGAGGCGACCGGCCCGATAGTGCTACGACAGACTAATAATTTTGTGGGCAATGTTACAATAACCTATATGCGCGAGACCAATTTCATGTAAATGTTTATCGTTCGTTAACCAATAGCTAGTTACCATAAATACATTCACACACCAGTTTCGTACGCTTGCCGCAAGTTCGCTCGAACTCGCTTCTGAATATTTTGTTTATGCTAAAACGAATCTAAATTAAATGTTCTTCGCTTGCAAGAACTATTATTTATTACAGACTATCCACATCAATCACATTTTCTCAAATGCTATGTATGCATTTTTTCTTCTATTTTCAATCTGGCAGTGCTTGCCTGAGTTTGAACTCTCAGTTCCCAGATGAAAGTTATATGCACTCAAACAGTACTTCTCAAATCATGGAAGTGCGTGTTCTCCCTTATCAGTACTCCTAGCATGAATCAATATCGAATTCGTATCGTTTGCGAGTCCGAAATGTCATTGTCAAATGTGTACTGATTTTTAGTTCTCGTTACGTAGTTTGTGCCGCTGCTGTTCAAGTTTCAATACAAAATTTGACATTGACATTTCGGTTTGCAAACTATTCGAATTCGATATTGGTTCCTGCTAGGGGTACTGATTATTAAAAAAGCTCTTAGATGAACTCAAAAAGTTTTGTATACACAAACAATGTCAAAATTTTCTAATTTAATCTCAAAGAGACGGACTGAATTTAATAGTTATAGTTTCTGTTCATTGGTGTAAAATGATTGCTTCGCTCGCTCGCTCACTCGATATGATGCATCATATATGCCGCACTCGCTCGTAAATCTGGCTTAGAGTCTGAATAATTTCCATCTATCTAATCGAATGTTAAATTTTTTATGGCGTAGTAAAACATACAATGGATTATTGCGGATTTTCATGTTGATAGTGCACTATTTTGAGTTCGTCTATGGAGCAACATTTAAATCATTGAGGTCATTTGGCCAATTTATTTTGTAAATTTAAAACAAATAATAAAGGAAATGTATAATCAGGTTTGCATATATATTGCAAGAAGTTGGTTAGTGTAGCAGTTTTTAACTGCTGTACAAGCCATCTTCGCGTTTGGACTTTATCACTTTACCACTCATCATCAGGTGGAGTAGAGTCATTTGCCTACCTGGCTATAAAAATAGTTTATATTTAAGTATTTTAATAAAAAAATAATTAAATCGTAAGTTCATGTTGATTAGTCAAATTAGCAACAATTATGATTTTTTATAAAAAAATACATAAATTTATCGTCTCAAGTATTTAAAACAAAAAACTTTTTTTTTACTGCCTATAGTTTGGACGAACGATTAAAGATATAATAACGTAGTGCCTACTTGGTTAGGCGGTCAGCCAGTCCTCAATAAACGTATATATACCTAATTAGATCCACTATCAATTCATTATGATGAGTACCAAGTGAGCATCCTTTGTTTTACCACCAGATTCATTATTTTAAAACCTGTTGGCATCCGACTTAAGCATTTTTAAGTAGATTTGACTGTAGCGCCATAGTAACAAATTAGACATTTCAGTTTCAGAATATATTATATTCTGAGCTTCTTACAATGGATGCACAAAAAATAAACAAAGTGTTCAAACGTCGCGAATGTAAGAATACAAATTATTGAAATAGTATAATTGGCATTTTGACAAGACACCCCGTGGTCAGAATTTGGTGCATTATGTTGTAGTAATAAGATATAAAATGGCTTGTACTCCGTAAATAGAAGTTAACGCGAGATATTGGGAAAACAGACAGACTAGCGGTATTACTTATTAGCAATTTACAATAAAACATTCTTGTAATTGATTCCGCATTGCAAAGTGTTCCTTTGAAAGTTTGATGATCGTAAGTTACTTTGAAAACATGGCAATATCTAGCTCTTCAGTACTTATTGCAAGCAATGACACTTTGTCTCACCATGGCTTGGGTATAACTTGTTCTAAAATTTAATGTCAGAAAGTATGACGGGCCATGTTTTTATAGCTCAGTAATGAACGTCGCTCACCCAATTTTTTTTTATAGATAGGTCCGACAAATGAATCCACCCCATGATGATAAGTGACGGTGAAGTCCAGACGTGAAGATAGCTGGTACAGCAATTCTACCTGCCACACCAGCCATCCTCATGTTGCAGACCTGCCGGCCTGCATGTTGCTTCTTCATGCTCTTTTAAAGGATCCCAGGTTGTAAGAAGGAGGGAATTCAAGAGCGGGCGGAGCATTCCACTTACGGATAGTGCGACACAATAAATACTGAGTTTGCTGTGAAGTACACATATACTCGTATAGGTAGGTGCCAGGTTCGGCAAGTCCAGGGGGCAGATCGCCTAACAGGTTTGCTATCGCTTACGATTTCATTTTGATATTTCTGACCGCCTAAGGTTTTCAAATACCTCACGTTAATTTTCTTTAAAATTGTTATTACTAATGCAAAGGCATTTGTAAACCTTCGGCGGTGGTCAGAAATAACAAAATGATATCGTAAGCGATAGCGATAGCCATAGCAATCCCGTTAGGCGATTGGCCTCCAATTGATATTATAAAGTAATAATAATAATAATAAATCGTTTATTTTCTCATCACAAACATTTTGGCATCGATAACATTTTTTTAAATAGTTCATTACATTAATGTTTGTGTGAGACTGATGCCCGTGTTAGGTACGATATACCTGTGTTACAGGTCATCAAGCTCCCACCACCTCGAATCGCCAATGTTGGTTAACAAATAACATGAGTATGAAGAAAAGATAAAGTATCTAACTCACTTGTGTCCCAGCTCGTGCGTAATGGTGTGCGCGAGCATGATTCCGTTGTCCTCGTTGACGGAGCAACTGCGGTCCGGCTTGCACATCCCCGCGACGTGCGCCACGCCGAGGGTGCTGGCGAACAATAAACACTCATAAATATCTCTTATCTAATAGACAAGTCCGTCCGTCCGTGGTGCTGTTTCAGCGGCCAAACCGTAAGAGATAGATAAAGAGAAAGTTTAAGTTATAAGTTAAGAATAGTCTGATAAGACTACAAACCGGATTTGAGTAACGTAGCACTTCCGGTTTTCGAGAAATCACGTGATTTCTATTTCAAACGAAACCACACAAAATCTCCGAAGTTCTCAATTAATTAAATACATTTTTTTTTATTTTTTTTTTGGTGAACATTTGGTTCACTGGTTTGCTAGTGACATAATATTACTGTAAAGAAAATATAACTGTGTATAAAGTGTTTTTCATTTTTCCCAAAGGTTGACTGGGAGAGAATGCTTTTAGCATTAAGTCCGCCTTTTGCACCAATGTTATATATTTATATTTTGGTCAATAAAGTTTAAAAATAAATAAATAAATAACTAGAAAAAAATCCACGCGGACCAGGCAGCAGAAGGGACTCGAACCTGCACCCTTCGCTATCCGGGCAAATGCACTAACAATTATGCTACCGCGGCCTTGCACCAGGCCGACAGTACGCTAGTTTGCCACCATTTTATTTTACTATCTGTAATATCTGTCAGAAAATATGATGGGCCATGTTTTTATAGCTCAGTAATGAACGTCGCTCACCCAATTTTTTTTTATAGATAGGTCCGACAAATGACTCCACCCCACCTGATGTTAAGTGATGGTGAAGTCCAGACGTGAAGATAGCTGGTACAGCAGTTCTACCTGCCACACCAGCCATCCTCACCATGCCGGCCTGCATGTTGCTTCTTCACGCCTCTTTTAAAGGATACCAGGTTGTAAGAAGGAGGGAACACGTGAGCAGGCAGAGCATTCCATTTACGGATAGTGCATTTTAGTTTTAAAAAAGGAAATTTAACAGAGTTAAATTAAACAATTCGTACATTATTGCCTGCTAAGAGGTAAATAACGATGGCAGAGTAATGTCTAGTAGGTTGTTTGAATTGATGCTGAAGTGTATTTGTACCGTATTCCTTATTACGCTGCTAAATAAATAATATATGCTAAGGGTACTCCCCTAGCACGAAACTTTATCGAATTCAAATAGTCTGCGAGTGCGAAATGTCAATGGAAATAAAATTTTGTATGAAAATTTGAACAGCAGCGGCACAAAGTACGTAACGAGAACTAAAAATCAGTACACATTTGACAATGACATTTCGGACTCGCAAACTATTCGGAATCGATATTAGTTCGTGCTAAGGGTACTGTACAATTTAGAATGTGATTACTTGAACACTTGTGTGAAATTCTTTCTATACAAATCTCGCTAATATCATCTTGTCGTTTGAAGTTGAGAAAGCAACGCAGTGGTGCAAGTGTGTACCACGAGTCATTTAATAACCACGTATACGACAAGTCAATCACAGTAATTAAGTTTGTGTTAGTGTTCCTTCACAATTATTAGCTCTAACCTATCGGGAAGTCGTAATCAGATAATTATTAGAGTGGTAAATTACTGAAAATTATATGTTCACATTGGATTTTGCGACCAAACACAAGGTATGGGTATGGGTCTATCACCCAAGGTATACCATGCAATTCGTGTTTCGATACACAGATAGAGTCTGTGCGGAAAGAGAATGGGCGTGGCGAAAAACGGAACTAACATTAAGATTTTTATATGGCAATACAACCCAGGCATCTGCAAACGTCAAAGTTTTGTAATGATACGGATTTGTTTGTTGTTGTGATTTCTTGCGGTTTTTGGTATTTAATCATGTCTAAAAGGGGTAAAACCTTACAAATACGGTAGAAAAGCAATAGTGCACCCTCAAATCTAAATCCCATTCTCTTTCCGCAGACTCTAACATGAAATTAACTTACAAACTACCCGTGTGCCATATTTCTCCCAAATCCGTACAGCCTCTTTGTGTATTTTTAAAAATATTTAAACTTAGTAGCTTTTTCTAAAAACAAGTACAGTGATAGGAGATGCCACCTGCGAAATGCCCGCTTTGAGAAGAAAATACTGACGTAGTTCAACTGTCTCGTGTTTGTTTTCCCGCTATATGTTGCCAGCTAGAACTTTACAAGAACGCATGGGGACAGACCTAGCAAAACACAGGCAACACTTCACTATATATAGTATTACAATCAGGATCTTTAATTGAAAATTTGATTTACTTGCGTAATCTTTAAAATGGTTTATGTGGATTTTGGATAAGGCTAAAATTCCTTCAACATAGCTATTGTCATTACAATTGTATTGTTTAAATTGTATTGTCATTGCCTTTGATAATGATCAAAGGATTGCGCCTAACGAACTTTATACAATTTTCAGTTTATGTATGTATTTATTTCAATAATTCACTTCACTAAAAAGTAATAACTATATTTTAGAGCTTTTATTTTGTTCGTAATGTTAGTATTTATATTTTAAAGCTCATTAAATGATCAAACGGTTATGAATGAATTAATTCTATGAGTATGGTGGTTTGCCAAAAGTCTTTAATAAATGAAATCTGCTCTAGAACTGTGTCCGCTATTTTAAAATACGTAGTGAAGAAATAGAATTTTAATAAGCCTAGAAAATATTTATTGTATGTGTCACATCCGTTGTGTACTGAAATAAACAACATAACCTAGAATGAAAACGAAAATAAGGACGGCAGTTTCTTAATTTATCTATTTTTTTATTGGTTAATCAATTCGAAACGGCTGAATGGATAGATATGACTTTTAATATAGTAAATAGTAGAGTAAAATGTGGACTGCTTCTACACAGAAATCAAAATGTGACTGGACATGATTTTATGTAAATTTTGCTACATCTTTTAAATGCTGACGAGTTTCTTAAAAATATTGGACGATCCAAGAGAACTTTTAATAAGTCAATTTAGATAAAACATAATTTCATTTCATTTCATTGACGAGAAATACTAATAATGTACAAGGAGACATTTTTAAAGAGCATATCGAGCAAGTTAATTACAAATGCATCCATAAAATCAGACACTTATATAAGAGTAATATAATTATAAGTTTTGGTATCAATAAAAAGTAAAAATTACTTCAGTAAGTAAAGTATAGTATATATGGTATAGTAGTTATAGTAGAGTACGAGAAAAGCTCGCGAGTTCCGCAGCGTTCTGCCCAATTTAATCTGCGGCGGTCGTCGGGCGCGGGAATAGCCGTCTAATAATATGCGCACGCGCTGACTCAGAGAACGGTGCTCACAGCCACGCGGAAGCCGGCCAAAACCACTATAAATCGCTTGCTATAAATCCTATACACTCCACTCCACTCCGCGCCGCGCGCAGATGCATTATCTACATGCTTTGGTTGTTAAGACCGAAGGGTCAAAAGGGATAAAAAAGGAATGAGAAACGTGAAAAATCATCAGGCCATGTTCCTTGTGGGTTTGGTAAAACATCGAAAATGCGACGCGACAAGTCAATTATTATAATTACCGTGCCATAATTAAGATTTCAGCAGGTAATTTTACTTCTATACTAAAACGATTCTTTGGTTAATACAAGTTTTTTTGTTGTCAGCCCATCGCTTGGTTTTAAAACGGTCATCTCAATTAATAAACTGTTAAACGGGAAAATTGAATTTTGAAGCGTAATTTGTTTATTTTTTTTATTAAAATGTATTTTGATTTGAGAGTTTATAAAAAAAACACACTAAATAAAGAATCAACTTTCCCACGTTTCTAGCTTCAGCTATTAATAGAAATACAAATTATCAAAAATATTTAGGTTAAGATTAAAATAACGCCCACATCTGGGAGCTGATTGGCAATCTCTTATCGACGAGCATTTTTTTAACCGTGGAGACGCACTTTGAATACGTAACGACGTAAATGTAATGCTTTGTTTAAAATAAAAATGGGTTTGAAACGTGCGCGTTGATGTCTTTTATATAAAGCCAGTCAAAACAAGCGCTTAAAAAGAAGATTTATTATTTATTAAACATTTTCTCACAATTTCGCTTGGCCCCAGAACAGTTTTAATTTTTTTATAGAAACGTTTAGAATGAGGAATAAGAAAGAAATCTTTGGATAATAAAGGAAATAAATCAGTGTTTCTATACTGTCGAAACTTGATTTATTTAATGAGTGGTGTGCGTGAAAACCTATGAAACAAATAATACAGGAAATTATATATTTTTGATTTTATCACAATTTATCAGCTCGTTTTCGACGTGAAAGAGTAAGTACGAACATTTAATATATATAATTCATTAGATTAGCTTTTTGAGAACTTTTGGCTTACTATCTTCTATCTATATATATAAAACTTAAAGGTGACTGAATGACTGACATAGTAATCTATCAACGCACAGCGCAAACCACTGGATGGATCGGGCTAAGATTTGGCATGCAGGTAGATGTTATGACGTAGGCATCCGCTACTCCCAAGTTACTACCTCCTACCTCCCTTTGATCAATTCTACTCCCAAGGGGATAAAATAGGTAATGAAACTTTGTCAATTTTAAACCGATCGGGCTGAGACTTTGCATGCAGGTATAAGAAGAATCATACATGAATGTCATTGTGTATAATACAAGCCTGAGAACAAAAACTGTGGTCTAAACTTCAGCTCTACACCGAAGCGAAGCGAGGGCGGGCCGCTAGTCAAATATAAGATAGTATTTTTATGAAATATCCTTGAATTTTATATCATAAAAGTATTATTTACTAGAAAAAATTACAGTCAGACCTTGGTCGAGTTGAATTTTTCTAATAAAAATTTAGATAAGAAACTCTTGTCTATTTTAAGAAAATGATCCTACTTTCAATATTAAATTTTTAATTTTTTGTCAATAATATGCTTACTTTTCAAAACACGGTCAATATATTTATTTTAAGCTAGCTGTGCCCCGCGGTGTTACCCGCGGTCTATTAGGAATATTTTCCCGCAGTAAAACGTAGCCTATGTGTTAATCCAGGGTGTCAGCTTACTCCATACCAAATTTTATT